ATGTTTTCGCGGTATAACAACATTATAACAATAAATTATTAGTCACATACAAACGTATATTTTTAAAAGTCGAAGGCGGCCCACTACTCACCAATTAACTCGCCAAAACACGCATACCGCGATTCCCGTAGACATTAAAACTGGTAATAATCAATCGATTACCTACACATATATATTATGTATATACGTAGATGTTTATCTATCCAGAGATACCTACAATAACCGCACGAATAATTATCCGCTACGGGCGCTAGTAGGCATACACATTATACACATATTATAAAAACTAAACCTATTGACTGCAGGATTCGCCGATTGTCTTGTATATAATATACAGATAACACACTGTTATAAAATATAGGTCGTCAGGCGATCAACAAAGATCGGTTGTATCTGTAAAAATCCTCTGCTCGTTCTTTATTACGACGACTGTAACTGCTGCGGTACGCCCACGTTTCATTTCGACGGTGTTTTTTTATTTCTTTACGTACATTTTGTCGTCACGTTATTGTGAATTTTACATCGATGACGTTTTAAAATAAAAATAATATATACGGGTACAGTCGTGTCGTAATTAAATTACGACCGGGGAATTTCAATAAACCGCATCACTCCCGTCCGAATGATAAATAGGTACGTTTGCGCGTTATACCGCGGTTAAATCCGATGTTCGGCGGTCATATATTAGGCACGCCGGAAGAAAGTACTGCTACTTAAAACTTCGCGGCAACACGATACTTCGTGAATATTATATGTTATAGGTACACGCGATGATCGTGAGCGCCGTTTCTTTGTGTACCGCATTTCCTTTGTACGCTCCTGCAGTACTCTGTAGTCTCGCTGTACGATCAGACTGCGTGTTACCGCGGCCTATAAAGTCACGGTAATATAATCGACTCTTTTTCGCGATAGCAAACGAGAATTTCTGTAAATAGATACGTTGATTTTGACGAACGGACGACTTTTATATCGATCGTGACGTATATGACTGCAGTCGATTTATGCCGAAATGTCACGTACATAAATAAACGAATAACCGCGGCGGTTGTCGTTGTTAAATTTTACGACAATAATAATCGTTAAACGATATAATTTGTTTAACGCGAGACCGAGTGATAATTACATTAATATTATCGAGAGCACCTAAATTTCCGCTCGAACAGACATAATATTAATAATAATAATACATCTGCATAAATCGTCACTTTAACTAGGCACTTCCAAATAAAAAAAAAAAAAAAAACAACAACGCACACACTGGGCGATAGGCATTGGTATGCATTGGTAAACACGTGACTATTGAGTCTACCTGATTTAGTATATTTTTCTTTTATATGAAATACCTACTAGTTACTTTAATGATTAAAAATAGATAATTACTGCACACGAATGTGCTGTGCATATACAATACAATACTTTTGATCGTAACGATATTCGTACACGTATTTCGTATCAAAATTCGTGTACAACAATTAATTAAATTTTGAACGATAAAATATTTATGTAATTGGGTCAAAAAAAGATAATTGGGAATCGCCGCAAAGCTGAGACCCAAGTGGATAAATAAAACAGTGCAGGCCAATTATATTCGGTGATACTCTTCTATTGGTCGACGCGTTATCACTGTTATCAGCCATACGTTTAGTCGCGAAATCTTAATATTTTCTGTGCACGCGATCAATAACTATAGGGATTTATATTATGTTTTTTTATTTGAGTTTGAAACATTTATACTGCGTGATAGTAAACGCGGTGATTGTATTCTGTGTACAAAATAAGTAGGCTACACTATATTTTATTCGTCTGTAATATTACAGTCCGCTGTAATATTGACGTAAGGTATACGAGACATACCTAATATCTCGAAATATCTACGAATATTCATCGAGCCTTATGGTTTATATCGGCTGACCGAAAATTCAATAATATTTATAGTATTGTGCTCGTGATATTATACACTCCACAGAGTGCACGCGCCGATTCTAAAATTATAATATATAGTTCGATAAAATCGCCGTCCATTTATAGTTAAGTGCTACTGGAGTTATTAACAATAATTATTATTAGGCATATACGGCGTACTATATACGTGATAGGAAAAACAAATTTAAATTGTTCCGTTTAAATTGAACGTGAACTCGTAATGATCATTACTACTATTGTTATATAGTTACCTAAATAACATAATATTATAATAGTTCGTTTGTAATATACTAACGAGATTAATGTAATTTTAAACAAAAAAAATGAAACACGTGTTAATCTTCACAAAGCGTGAATTGTTTAGGAAGAAAAATGTGTATATATATATATATATATATGTATTTAAAAAAAAAAAGAAAGGCCGAGATAAAAAAAATGGGGTAAAAATGGTAATATTCATAATGTACGAGTATTATACGAATACATTTTATGTCGAGGCACGCAAATTGAATCGACACGCTGACGTACCTCCTCTTTTGTGTGCTGTATCGTGTAACGAAAACAAAGAGGTCGCGTTAATTAAATGACACCGTAATTATAGGTTAGGTATTGAATTTTTTTTTCTTCACACATACGTGAACACCGCAAACACTATCTGTAGACATCGCGCCTAGTTGCGTTATGATAGGATAGGCGTCTTGAACGCCTCGGGCGCTTGTAAGTTTAAACCGTTTTATCGTCGCAATTATCGTCTTTGTAGACTCCCGAGACTTCGCTGTCGTCGTTTCTCTCGTGTTTGTGCTACACGATTAATATAGAAATTTCTATATTTTTTTTTTTTTTATAATAATATTCGATATCGATTGGTATTTAAAATTACACATATCATCATTGTATAGGTTGTTTATCAATTGTATAAACATAATGTGTTGATTTCAAATCAAGTTAAGTTAAACAAATATCTGCAATTTCTTCAACACGATATTAAATTTACAATTTACAGGTGAACAATATTTTCTTGAATATTATTGTGCGATTAGTATAACGATAATCGGGGTCAATCATGGACGAAATACTTTTGTATTTTTATTACGCCATGAAATTTATAGTGAATATCCATACAGTCATATCGAGCTAACAGATAGATAGATAAGTTAAATAGATAAGTAATGAGATGTTTCATGATGGTGTGAATAAAAATATTGAATCATTTCTTCCACGACTACTTATCCAATTACTCATTATAATTTTTGTTTTTGCTATTTTAATCATTTGAATGGAGTTTTCAGTTTACGAAATAAGTGTATTCAATAGATATTCTCGTAATAAAATCCACGTGTTAAACCATTAATTACCGTAATTTTTGCAAAATCGCTTCTGGGTTATAATATAATATAATATATATATTCACGTAAAACTATAATAATTTTACAAAAAACCAATACAAATTAACTCAACTTAAATTAATAAATACAGTTCATTAAATTTGAATTCGTGGTTAACTCGGTGAACCTGAGTATAATAAAACAATCAACTTCGAATTTAACTGATTTAATATTATTTGCTAACTAATTGAACAACCTTGATAACATTATTAGGCCTACATTATTACATAAAACTAATTTATAACAATAATTTGTTAATATTATAATATTATTTCAATAGTCGTGCATTTTTTGATTTATTTTTTTTTAGATTCTGAGTGAATGTATTGGTTTAACGATGATGTTTATTTTTTTAGTGTGTACCATTTTTGTACCAGAAAGCATACTCTGATTATCAAATATAGCACCTTTTTTGAAAGCAAATATTTTCTGGGTGGTACTTTAAAGAGGTTATTTTTTTGAAATTCTGATTAATATTCGAGATAATGAAGAAAACTTGGTTCTTTAGGTTGAAAATATTGAAAAATTAAAAAAACGGCTGTCATTGGCAAGCGTTTTTATTTATTTTTTGTTATTTTAATATTTTTTAAACAATTATTGTTGTCATGGAAACTCATATTGTTGAAATCATTTTAGCGTAATAGATCCCATATTATATTTTTGACAAAGCAACACTGTCAACTGAACTCCGTTCAGAATTGTTTTTTAGCAATGGTTTATCGTTGCTTATTGATATACATTAAATTCCCGTCTGTATCCTACCTTCCTGAATTCCCACTTACAACAGTGGCTGCACACACGTGCTAAGTATATCCGTCCTTTTTTGTTATAATTGTCCTATTTGCTTATTAATTTATTATAATATAATATATAGTAACAATAGAGAAAGAGAATAATAATAATAATAATAATTTGAATTACTTCCTTGTTGCTATAATAACGACTCGGTGGAGAAAATAATAATTATAAATTATCGGGTCATTATTGCAACAGGATCTTTATCAGCAATTTGCATCATTCTCTATAATGATGAAGTAATAATATAATTTTTATTGTGTCTGTGAATTTGTAGTGAATTGTTTTAGCCGATTTTAATGCGTGTAGATTTTTTATTACAGAGTTTGAATCGTGTGTATTGTGTACACGAACAACGAATTTAGTAAATTGTGAAATCTTCGTGTTTGATTTTTTTTTTGGCCTATTTTATCGTTTTAAATTTGTAAGTAACTTTTTTACCTTTTATGGCCATTTTTACATAAACTACATATTTTTTTTTTAATTTATACAGGTTGTATATACTTTTGTTTTATATCCATGTGTTTTCAAATATTATTTACAAGCTGTTGTACTAAATACAAATAATAACAATACTTTATTTAAAGTTGTATAGTGCCTTAAATGCACAAATTTAATTGTTATACTAGATTCTCAATGTACCGAAGATAATGTTAGTTTTGCCAAGATAGAGTTATTTTTTCTCGGGAACCCCTATGTTTTTTTTAGTCAGGCAAAATGTTTTTATTATAAATCCATGCTCCAAAAGTGCAGATTTTCCGCCCTATGTGATACTGTATTTGAAATTCCCGACAGCTCTCTTCTAAATCTTTTGTTATTATTATTTTTTTTTTGTAGAGAAAAACACTTTTAGTAAATAAAAATGATTTAAAATGTTTAAACGTACCTCCCTTAAAAGACAAGTTTTTCTCCCTACTTTACTTTATTTGAAAGATGTTTCTACATTTCCAACGGCTCTTCTAAAAAATTTAAAAAAAAAAACTTAACAAATGACAGATACTGTGGTTTTATTTTTATCGATTTATGGGTTGTTATAAATATCCTATACCTTCTCGAATTCTTCCACACAACACAGTGACCCACCGACAGTACGAAATATTTCCGGCTTATATTGTATTCACTTTTATTGAAATATTTTGTTATTCTCCGCGTGCGAACTAAAATCGAAGAATATTGTTCGGCGTAGAGTGATATTGTATACTGTCGACGATAACAACATTATTATTTACAATTGAAGGCCGAAAATAAAATTTAATTACATGTCACCGTAATAATATAACACAGTGTTGAACCAACGAACCCTGGCGTGATTGGATAAAAATAAATCTTTATACTGATCACTTGGATAAGTAACAGTACAGCGAACAAATAGTTGCGCGTACGAGGATGTCGGCGACGAGAGATAGTGCAACTTAATATTTTTCAGTTTTTCTGTGCAAATATCAACAAAAACGAGCGATTCTCTTGTATTTCAATAGGTATACCTAGTAACCATGTTCACGCGATTCGTATCCAAAATCGAGTTACATTGTTAAATAGATGTTGAAATAGAAAATAAATAGATACATTAACGGTATAAATGAAGCACACTTTGAAAAACATGACGCATAGTTTGATTTATTTTAAACCGATCGAAATTTCAACAGATTTTCAATCACCGATGTATTTGAAAACTGACGTACAATTTCACGAGCTCGATTCGTATCAGTTTTCTAACTACGCCTGCTTGGTTTCGGCCGTTTGAAAAATTAATAATATTATGTACATTTCCGCAGCGTTCGAATACAATAGTATATAGTTGGTATTCAACGCCTTGTCAAAATACCGTGTCAGTTTAACTTGAAAAGTATTTAAACGTTGTATAGTATATTATATCGGAATACATTACAATACTCATTCAGTACAACCCCACTAGTCGAATAACGCGATTTGTTTTTTCATAGTCCGCACGTATACCCGTGTATCATTAGTATAAGACACGCGGACGGTCAGCTATGAGAGAGGTTACGACCTATACTGCAGTACCTATGTGTGCCAGGTGATATGATAATATATTATAAATCTCGTGGCGCCAATTACTACGATTACATATTATATGGGTGTAATACGTATTAAAAAAAAAAATGATATTATTATTAAGCATTATGGCTGTGGACAGGTGAAATAGTGTATCGGCACAAGGTCAGTGTACGCGTTTGTCGTTTGTAATCTAATATACACATACACAATATAATATACTTCGATAAAATATTTTAAGTATATATTCTACAGGGTGATTTCAACTATTTTTATTTGACAAAAAATATTTTCCAATGTATAGGTACTCCTAATATTACTTAGATTACGTTAGGTTAGGTTTAATAAATTCGTATTATACCGTATGCTAATATTAACTCTTCATTTTTTAAAAGGAATATGTTAACCTTTTAAAATTTATCTATTAACATACTATACCCAATAAATATACAATAATATTATACCTGTATTTAGATGACAATAATAACCGTTTTCCCTACTACTCCTCATTCGGACTAAAAACTGGGTTGTTTTAAACGTCAAATCGTTTGAAAATCAAAATTTGACATTTGTATGTACAGTATACTTTTAGTTATAGTGAATTTCCGAAAACATTGTAAGCGACAGACGGCGGAAACGAAATTGAAAATCGATTTTTACTCAAAATTTACGTGTATTATAGCCGGATCGTTGGATTACGGTCGAAAAAACAATACTACCACCCTGTATATATTACGATATAATAAAATAATAATAATATTATACGCGAAGAGCAGACCGATCGTATGGCGATAGTGACAATATAATATTATGAGCGTACAACAAGTCGACGACGGCGCACGCAGAAAATCAATTTTCCACAGGTGCGCGTGTTGTGTCGTGTCGGTGCCAAAAAATGAAAAAAATAAAAATGTAATAACGATATTATTGACGGTATATTATACACGTGCGTATAAGTTACTTCGGGTAAAAAAAAAAAAACGTATCGTGTTACGTTCATCGACAGGCAATAGTATAATATAATATTATTGTCTGTGGCCGTCGTCCGCATGCAGCTGCTGGTATAACACACACCGGACGAGCTCGTCGTTTCAATAAGGTCAACCATATAGGTTCGAATGACAATTGTTTTTTTTTTTTTTTTTAGTCGTGCATTTTTAATAAGAAGTACTATATACATTTTATATGAAAAAAAAAAAAAAACCAAGTGTATTTGTACATTATTCACGAGCTATAGGTACTAAAGAAGTTTATAAGTACCTACAAGTATATCATTTTTTTTTCAACCGTTATTATTTCTTAAAATTATCTATAATTTCATACCCACCGTTTTATATAATAATTACCATATTATTTTGTGCGACGACGACGACGACGGTATAACGGTAAGAGTATCAATCGGTCACGAAAATATCGATCGTAGGCAAGTATAGCGTCTTGAGTGAACGCATTAATCAAACGACATTTGACGGGCGAAAAGATGTATCCGAGAAGAAGAAATAATTATTTCCTGTTTTTTCCTGCGCGAAAAGCGGTACAGATAACACGACCTCATGCCTATAATCTATAATATTAGTTATGATAATTCAAGGTTTACCGCGTGATCAGCACGAATTCGTAGCGATTTTCATGGGGTAGGAGGGAGAAAATGGGAAGTTATTTTTATTTTTTTCTTCTTTCCGGATACACCTTTTCGCTCAATATCAGAACGCGCGGTCTGGTTTTGGAGAAATACGAGACACGCAGGTACACGCTGCTATGGTTGAGAAGTGTGCACGGGATGGACCGCGGCGTGTAAGCGAAAACTACACCATCAGCTATTATACCCGACTATCGACTATATCGGACGGCCGAATGACCGAGAGTAGGGTACGATGACACGATAAGCGAGAGAGACGAGAGGAACGCGGGAAGGACGCGGATTTATAATGAACGAGAGTGGAATGATAACGTCGTATATATACACCCAAATTGGAAGAAATGAACCGTGGCCGGTAATTCGACACCGGTGTCGGGGGTATGGAATGGAAGACGCTGCGGACAAGTGGTAGATGGTACTGCGGTAACGGAGGAGGGACGACGGCGAGAGCGAATTATTGAAAGTTCTCCCCGGGCTGCGGGGGAAACGATCTGATTATGGGCCCGGCCCGCGAGAACGGGGGATTACTATAAAGGGGCCGACTGTGATGTAGCAGATAAGAAACGGGCAGGCGTCTCTGGCTTTTCACTGCGCCAGCGTCGGCGGCGACGAGGGATATTTTCCTCTGTACATTAGCCAAAGGCAAATAACATATATTATTATATTACGTATACATGTATACAGAAGATACCTATACATAATACAATGTAATAGCTGACGGCTGTCGAGAAGTTCGCCGCGCCGTGTGCGCCCCTCGTTTTCGGAAAATAAGGTGTACTTTGCGGTTTATAATAATATATCCGTCGCACACGTCTCGCAGAACGCCGGTGCACATTTCAAGAGTTTCGGTTAACAAACCGGCCGAGAACTTTTAAATCGGCCGTTTACGCGGACGCGTGTGCGTGTCTCTCGTGCAATACGATTAACGTTATATCGTGTTTGTAATAATACCGAGCACTGATTAAGAGATGGGCAAATTCCCGAAAAATGGAACAATTATCGACGATTAACGTAGTAGTATGTATAGAAAATTATAATAAACGTACGTTTATCCATAACAGAATCGATTCCGGTAGAATAGCTCGAGTCTATACAATAATGATATTATAAGCGAAATAAAAACAAAAACAAAATTTATATTTCCGTAATTTTGATTAACGAGTAGCTATACTTTAATAACTGCAGATATTAAGTAATCTCCGTTTGATTGTGGACCCGAATGAACCTTTAACAGTGTGAATGTGTGACCAGTTTGAAGAGTAGTGACAGAAAAATGTTTTCAAATTCGAGAAGAACCACTGTAATATGCCGTGGAAATATTCCCGATGAACTCACGAATATATATATATATTTTTTTTTTTTTGAAATATCTCGTGGCAAAACACCGTACAATCACAAGTCCGGGTTGCAAACACCGAATGCGTATAATACAGACCCCCGACACTATATATACGAGTATATTTAAGTTCTGTACAATTTTAATGGCTCTGTAACGAGTAAATAATGTTGAATAAAATAATTTCTAAATAATTGAATGCCGAAACACATTTACCGCGTATATGTACTGATAAATCGGTGGTTATGCGAAGTGTTCTCGCAAAAGCTTTTCCATCCCATTTCTTTCGGGCCGCAAAAAGTACACGTTTATAATATATATTTTTGGATTTCAATGCGGAAATCGGATACGATTCTCAAATGTAAGTCTAAGGTCAATCCAATCTGTAAAGATTTCGGATACAAAGTCGGAACTGTAAGTTACGGCAACGTTCAGTATGTTATTTTATAGATCCGTAAGCGCGATATAATGATTCTGTAAGTAGCTACAGAACGTCTACGCGATCCGTAGTGTTCTGTTTACTACCGACTCGTACATTGTCATTTTAATTTTGCCGGATTCAAAAACGTTACATTTTTCAATTAATTAACAACGCCGATAAATTTTACTGCGCGCGTAAATGTGTACGCGAGATTTTGCGATTTCATTTTCTAAAAACACTCTCGGACAAAAATCAATATTTTTTCTAATAACTTTAACAGTGTAGCGTGGTGCTTATTATTATAGGTAGAAAACGACGCTGGGAAAAAGTGACGCTCCGAGTCGGACGATTTCTAAAAACACTGGAAATTAGTATATTATTGCGTTCGACTTGCCTTAAAAACCGATTTTTAGACGACGTGTTATACGCACCCAATAACGGACTCTTATATTAATAAAACAGTCTCCCTAAGACGGCGTCTTTCGTTCGTATGATTCCCATTTCAAAAGCTCCGGTTTGCACGAAAACCCCTCTTGACCGTGTTCGCGGATTCCCTTTCAAACGAATTTGTATGTCGGGAGGTTTCGTATACGTTTATATATATATATGTACCTAATACGTATTATGCGGAGGACTCAAACTAAAGCAGGATTAACCGATTTTGCGGGGTGACGTAGGATCTGCGGGGTCATGAGACATTTTATGTTGTTCGACTGCCTGGCAATTCGTTTAGCGGTTTCCCGAGGGACCGAAAAACAATTCGGAATAAACGATTTCGCGTCAAAATCACACGGCCGAACGCGAAACGACGCACGTTGAATAGCTAAACACGAATATTGCATTTATATGAGAAAAAATGAGATGATATTGGAGACGGGTGCGGTCACTGTTGTAGGCGAGTAGTTGAGAAGATGGGATACATAAAACTATTTAATTTATACCTGTAACCAACGACGAACCATTGCGAAGTTTGGTTACACACATGTTCTGAAAGGCCATAATATTTATAAACGATTTACGATATGATTTTAAAACTCTAATAAACTACAGTGTATTCAACGAGTTTTTTTTTTTTTTTTGGGCCACTAAAACCAAATTAAAATTTGATATAGTTTTGAAATAGAATTAATTGAATTGCAATAAAAAAATAAAATTTAAAATAACAGAAGAATTATTTTTGTACATTTTTTTTCTTCATAATTTTCCATTCTTTTACGTATTTCTCAGTTTTGCTCAATTATTTAAAAACCATAAAAAAATTCGAAAAAAAACTTTTTTAGTCACCAACTATATTATAAATTCAACAATAAATATCACATGTTATTTTTCTATTGGAACAATATTTTTTGTAGAAAACATACAAGTTCAGTAATAACCAACAGTTTTTTATCATTAGCAATTATTATTATCGAGCCAAAAAAATGTGTATGTATATTTTTACCGAGAAAAGTGTTATTGGCAAGAAAATCGTCTAAAAATAAAATATTATTTACGAAGAATATATTTTATAAATACATGCGAACGTTTGATGTAAAATAGAATGCATAATATATAGTATTACAGTTATGGAAAATAGAGAAAATAAAAATGGCAATTTCTGAACACGAAAACACACTGCTGTTAAGTCAAACAGATAGAGGATCGCGAAAACGTTGATTGCAGGTCAGCAAGATACCTATACATGAGTATAGCGCGAATTACTTACTTGTTCGGACATTTTTCAATCGTATAAAAAAAAACTCTTGCATTCTTCCTGTCATTTCGGATCGGTGCTGCAGTGTCAGAGCTAACTATAGAGTGCGAACTATTCGCATTCCTATTTCACTCTCGATTTTAAGTTAAATAATAAAGTATATAATTGGAAACAACGGAAGCCGTGTAGGTACTGCAGCCTTCAGAGAGCGAAACCCGATCGGAATATTTTTCGGTTCGGACACAAATCGACGTCCGTAGTCCAGTAGAAATTTTGATCAAACCACGTCGCTACACGTAAGTCTCAAATAAGTAATTCCGTATAAATAGACTTGGTATATGGTATATATGTATACGGTATAAAAGTAATACATTTTCTTAAGCGGTTAAGAGAAACGTAATATTATTATTATTATTATTATTATATTACATCGAGTTACCCTATAAAAAATAATAATTTATTGTAATAGGGTATACGGTAAGTTTTTTGAGCATTTAGGTTCGTCTGTCTGTCGCGTACATGCAATGGGTAATATTATGCTCGAGGAGGGTCAAATTTATACCGCCATGAAGATAATATTATATACATAATCTATACGAGTTTATTGAAGACACGTGTTTCGAAGCGAAACCTGGACGATATCAGTAGAAGAACAAAATAATTAACGCGTTTGAAATGTGTTACTATACAGAGAATCTTAAGAATAATCCGGGCTGAGCGGATATATCGAATGAAAAAGTACTAATTATAGAGTATAGATATAGGAAAAAAAAACACTTTAATTATGGTAAAGTTTGATAAGAAGACGAAATGGCTAAATCGGCCGTCGTATACAACATAATTAGAAAATCAGCCACGAAAGTCGGTTGAAACCGATTGTAGGGGTTAGCGCCGAAGGGGAGAATCGCGTATATAGGAAGACCTACAGGCTGAAATATATACGTATTATATAGAAATCGGATCACGAAGGTTCGTATATTTGTCAAAGTTTCGCCCGAAAATAGAGATTATTTCACTGTATTGTATATTGTGTATAATATATATTTTTTCCTCTACTTTTGGTGTGTTTATAGCCGTCACTTCTGAATCAAATAATTTCGGATTTGGGAACTACAGTTGTGTTATAGGCTGACAACATTTTGGTTGAATTTCAATAAGAATTTCAGCATGTCGTTGCGAAAAAGTGTAGGGTTTAGCTTTGTGTAGCCCTTAAAACTTGCCAAATAATAGGCAGGGGGAGAGTCGAAATTTTACATATGCATGATGCAAGTACCGAGGATTTCTTTGCAAAACCGTTTTTTAAACACCCTATTAACAAAACACGCCGTCGATATTATTAGGAATATTTTCCATTATTAACGATAGGTATATCTTTCCGTAAAAATAAAACGATAAGATTCGGAGATCCTATACGTGTTACGTAGCCTGTGCATATAGGGCCCGGAAATCCTGCGTAAGGATATAGCCGGCGAGTCGTAGGATCCCTGTGATGATCAAAGACCACGTGTTTTAGATTCTAAGTGGAGCGAAGTATGGTTTTACAAAGATGTTTTTTTTTTTTTCTATGGATGATTTTCCTACCCGAAGACGTGCTCCGATTTTAACGTGTAGCACTTTTTCTGGTAAAAAAAACCGGTATGGGAAGGTACCTTACAGGTTATTTTTCAATTTTCTCAAGAGTTGTCTCGTCAAATGCGAAAAACCGAAAGAAAAAACGGGGAAATGTACGAAATATATTTGTATAATATTACGATATTTTTTTTTTCTCTGGACAACTTTTCTATCGGCAATTTCGCTCCAACTTATAACGATGGCAATTTTCTAGAAGGAAATTTCACCGCGGAGTTACTTTAAAGACGTGGTTTTTCGATTTTCTCCGGAGTTTTCTCGGCAAATGTGAAAAACTGGGGAAAACCTTGGGAAAACCGGGGATATCGGTACAACTTTAAACAGATATTATTAAAGAAAGTATATAGAGCCTATTTAATTATTTTACTATAATATGGCGTTTATCATATTGTTGACAAAGCAACACTGTCGACCGAACTCCTCTCAGAATGGTTTTTTTTTTTTTTTTTTCGTAATCAATGGTTTATCGTCTTTTTTTCTTCCCCCCCCCCCCNTTTTTTTTTTTTTTTCGTAATCAATGGTTTTTCGTCTTTTTTTCTTCCCCCCCCCCCCCAGCAGTCGATTCGGCGCTTCACCCGTTCACACATCGCTTTTCGGTATAGATTACAATTATTACGCGCGACGGTCCAATAATTGCTGCGCCCGGGCCCAGGAGACGGGTGGCGCGACCGCGTCGAATACACAGAGGTCCGTCGTCATCGTCCGCTATCGCTGCACGCGCGCCCGTACCCGGTGTTGTGACGCGGCCAACAATGACCCTTGCCCCGCGTTACCCGAACCCGTCCGGTAGTAAGGTGTAACTGTGCCTGATGAACATACGCCTATCCATTGGCCCGCGGGCGCGTCGCTGTGTAATGCAACGCGGAACATTTGTTGTTCGAGAGATTATCGATTTCGGGAAAGCGCGGACCGCACACCGCGATCGCGATTACAATAATATTATAACAATACACGAATAAAAAACCAACGAAAAATTACCGGTATAATTATTATAATATTATGTACGATTATCGATTGGGTAATTAAAACGGTTTTATGTGCGTACGTGATTTCTCGCACATTACAAATAATATCATCGCGTTCGGTCAGTAACACGCAACGCCGTTTAATTAAATTCGGGATTCACGAATAAATACGAGTTGTTATTCGTCGCGTCATGACACGCGGAACGCCGCAGAAGAGAGGCGAGTAATAATATCGATAACGAGTATGATAATAGGCTCGATAGAAAAAAAAAAAAAAAATGATTATTATATCATGTACGGCCGTCGGCTGTAGGACACGGGGGCAAAAAGAGAAAAAAAGTCCGCGCTAACCCACCCCCCTCCCCCCTCACCGTTCTCATTAGCACAAAGCGGTTGTTAATCGATTGGAATAATAATAATTATTATTATCTTCGGCCCTACGCACTTCGTCTTTTGCGCTTTATAGAAAAAAGAAAAAAAAAACCCGTTCGCGACGTTTTATTTATATACGACACGAGTGTCGAGGCGATGGGAGAACGAAAAAAAAAAAAAAAACCACCGTAAGATACGTGCCCGGACGCATCGCTCGGATTACAACGTGCCGCACCAATTAGCCGCGGTGCGGGCGCGGTAGCGTAACATTTTCTTTTCAATCCGTACGGTCCCGCGCGTTTTTCGAATTTCGACGCGCGGTCTGTCGTCGCGTATAATTTCGACCGAACGGCCGCTGTTTTTCCGCACGGTTACCGTTGTATATGTGCGCGCGCGCGCTCGTTTCCCCCCCCTCCCCATAAAACACCGCGTTACACAATTTTACCAATAACACCGATACCCATGCGCGCGCGAAGCGATGCGCGCGGCGTTCCACACGCGGCGCTTGAGAATTCGCCCTCGTTTGTCGTATCGTTTCCGAAACGCGTGATTGTGTCGTGGTTATTGGGCGGCGCCTGTTTTTAAACACGGTCAAACACGAGAGCGCGCGTCTGCGCCGGGTACGCGCAAAACGTTGCGTCGCCGTAACGTACAACCGTTGGTGTGTCGCCGCGGTTTTCCGACACGCGAAATCGCGCTACCAAGAGACGCCGAACAACCGCCACGGCCGCGGCGAGCGGTCAGCTACGCCGGTAAACCGGCCGGTTGCGATAAGACGGCGAGCGCGTAGCGGAGAGCACGGCGGCCGTATTGTTTCGGACGGTCGGACGCGTTCGGGGCGTTCACACGACGAAATGAATTGCCACGCGCACGGATCAAGAGCAAAGATCTGAGGGGGCGGTGGGTGGGGGGGGGAAGGTGAGAGAGGAAAGGACCCGACAGTTTTTTCACAACACGAATACAATTAAAATATAATTGCATACATTGTTGTACGTTATTTTTGCATGCGCATCAGTGATTGGAATATGGTGGCATCGGGATTTATAGAATTATGGAAAAAAAAAAAAAAAATCGGAGAAATAACATGTCTGAGGAGAGTGGCCCAGGCCCCCTTTGGATCCGTCCCTGAACGGACATAATAGTCGATGGTACGGGCGTATAATACACAGTGACGTACGTATTTTTCAAGGCGGAATATTGGCCGCGAAAAGAAAAAGATACGGGCGTACGTGACACGCACGATGGACGGGCTGTTGCATGCGAGTAGTCGGGAAGGTATAGTAGATGGGAAATTTAATGTACGCAACGATTAACCGTCGCTAACGAAAACGATTCTGAGCAGAGTACGGTTAATAGCGTTGCTTTGTCAACAATATATATATATGTTATACATTACGGTAAAATAATTACGTTTGTATTATATTTTTATTTTTATAATATTTGTTTAACATCGTACCTTTATTCTCCTTAAAGATTTTCGGTCGGATTTTCTTTTAGAAAAAAAACGATTTGCTTGAAAATCTGAATAAAATTTCTGGTATAGAAGCGTTGTTCACGCAAAATAAAAATAAAAACATTGTAAAACCAATATATTCCTCGCTCCGCTCAGAATCCAAAATTAGTATTAAATGTTCTCAACAATTGTGAAAACTATAATGGCCTCTTTTACTTCTTCGTCTTCTTCTCGTATCCGATCGGTGTTTGCACGTGCATCTCAATGAGCCAACATTGCGCGAACATAACTCATTCCCTTGTAATTACATTACAATTCCTTCAACAAGTTAAAAATTCGAGTCGACTCTGAGTTTAAAGTTTAAATCCTTGAAACAATACGATATTCTTAACCGCGTGTCTATCGTAGATAATTTGCATTTCATGTACCCAATCTCCTTGGTCCGCCTCGTCCGTTGTGAGCAGGCCATTATTCCGTTTTCCGTGTCTTTTGACAATCTATTGCTATTGAGTAAATAACATTAGTTTTATTATTTCTATATTTTTTACGTTAAAAACTGCGTGTTACCAATTTTATAGATGATTGCATCTTACAAATTTTTCCTATATCTATGTTTTCGGTAAATCGTTACTTCGCATAATTATGTTCCAACACGTAAAAAAAAAAAAAAAAAATGTTTAACGACCGCGAAAAACGTTCAAAAAATTTCAATGAAAACAAAAAAAAAAAAATAAAAAAAAAACTGCTCAATCATGAACTTTATTTGGTATACTAAAAATAAAAAAGTGATATGAAAAATGAAAAAAAAAAACGCATCGTCTTCTGTTAATATTCGTAATATTCGCGGATACTTTTCAAAATGTTTTCTCCCATAACAATACGACGGTGTACGTAAATGTGGTGACGGCGACGATAAAAAAGTAAATAAATACATTTTTCGGCGTTTATTATATTTATATCGTATATACAGGGAGATCAACATATAACGTAGGTAATGACCACACAATTAATGTTTTACCCTCTCCCTGGCTACAAAACGACAAACTTAAAATGTGAAATATCATCTCGTAAACGTGTCATGGAAACCGACAATTTCAACACCGAAATATATTTAATTAACTTATACTTAATTTATTTACGGAATTTCTCTTATATCAGTTGCCATTCGAAGATCAAAAGTGGGTATTGGATCCACCCCCGAAAATAAGGATAACATAAAACAACGGTTACATTTTATAGGAGTGCTAGTTGTTTTTTAAATTTTCCGAAAAAAAATTTCGAAAAATCTTTAGACGATTTACGTTATATTGTTCACTTCAGCGGTCCATCAGGACTATCCACTTTTCAAAAAAAAAAAAAAAAATCTGTGTTATGTAATTACTACCACTGCAGTTAAAAAACGAATTTTCTACGTAGAAATAAAAACAGAAGGATTTTATAATACTTTAGACGTCATTTTTATGCTCCGAAACGAACAAACGTTGTTTTAATTTGAAAATAATGATACATGGTTAATAGATACACAATATATAACCCAACTTTAGAAGCTTCGGACCTAACTCCAACAAAATTTATAGATGGCAAAATAATTTGTCGCTATGTCGAAATATCTTATCTGTCGAATGGGTTTATTACCGAATTGATAAACGCCCAATAACGACTGAGTAAAATCTTAATACAGATTCTAAATTTTAAACAGTTTATTCCGCTGGGTAAAAAAATAAAATAAACATGTGTGTAACAAGTTTACTTGAATATACTAACAAAATCAACAAAATTATTATAATATATTCCGTCCAAACGTATCGAGATTAACCTAAAAAAAAATATGTCTAGATACGCCACTGTGGATCGCCCTGTATACTGCCGAAGTGTATGTGCAGTGTTATTATTATCGTTGTCGTACCCGAGAGTCGCTCTGTTACGCGAGACACGTTCTTCGCACTGTGTATTTCATTTTTCACTTAAGGCACTCGTTCGCAGCCTTCTTTATAATATTATCATCGTCCGCACAGTTACTATAATATACTCCCGTCGGCTATCGCTCACGAATTCGTCAAAAAAAAAAAAACCCGTCTTATTGTTGTGGCTGGAGGTATGGGACAGCGCGGTACTGGATTTAACTGTTTAATAATCGCGCGTAGTCATCGCCCGTCTCGATACAATTATTTTTAAAAATAACACAGAACAAAAAATAGATTACGTTTAGAAATAATTTCAAACTGGATGATAATACTACATATTGCCCAGCCCATATCATAATCAGAGATTGGCTATGACCGTACGAACCAAACCAATAATAATATTGTTACATTTTCCGATTTTTCTAATACCCTGTCGTAAAAATTCCGGACGTTAACCACTAGCGCTATTAGTTCACTCAGTCGCCACAATTATATTATAGCAAAATGACGCGTCCCATGAAAAACGCTGATAAGAGCAGTTTTTTGATCTCTTATATTATACAGACTCTATAGAACTATCCATAAACATAAGAAGAATTAACCAGGAATCACGGCCGTTTTACGTGTAATACCAAATTATTGAAGGCAGCAGAATATATGCGAGGTAAGGATTTCCTCGTGGCAGAACAAATATCTAATGGTTTTTATTTTTCCATGATAATTATAAAATAGTTAAGTATGAAAAAATACTGACTTAACTTTTACTGTAATAAAAAAAAAAAGTCTGAGTCCGCGATTTGTAATGACAAATACGGATTATTGCATTCATAAGACTACTATAAGATACCATAAGATACTATTAGTAGTCTATAATAAGTACGTATAATACCTATTTACTGCATTTAGATAATCTTTGATAAAACCGCAAATGCGCTGTTTGTAATACAACAATGGTTTTATGATCATTACCGGTCGATTTATCTTAATATGTCTATGGGTTTACCTTTATTCATATTTGATCAATTTTATCGAGTAAACACGCCCACAAAAAAAGGTAAAATATGATAAATCCGTCGCTTACCTATATAATATAATAGACTGCACTGCGTGATTCGGTGGCGATCAAAATATGCAAAAAAAAAAAACCGTTAGTTTAGTCCTCGAGTTAAGCCGGCAATAACAGAGTGAGAGTGCACCAAATAATATTATCGTTTATACTGCACATTAAAACGTTTTTATAAACTACAATATACACAGTATTGTTTTCGTAATGATTCGAAAATGTAATCGACGGGTAGAAAAAATAACGAAATTAACAAGACACGAACAAACTTTAGCTGGGTAATCTTAAAACAAAATATAAATTATATAAATACTATACGAAACAAAATATATTGAAGATTTGATCAAAACAAATAGAAATATGAAGACTGCTTTACGCGATTGACGCTTGAAATAATAATATTATTATCTAATTGTATTATTTATTTTTTATTTTTTTATCAACTGATTTGGTTCTTAGTGAGAGGAATGTATTGGTTTTACAATGATGTTTATTTTTTTAGTGTGAACCATTTTTCTACCAGAAAGCATAATCTGATTATCAAATACAGCACCTTTTTTGAAAGCAAATGTTTTCTGTGTGGTACTTAAAAGTGGTCATTTTTTTTAAATTCTCGATAACATTCGAGATAATGAGGAAAACCTGGTTTTTTGGGTTAAAAACGATTGGAAGATTAAAAAACGGCTCTCATTGGCAACTGTTTTGATTTATTTTTTGTTATTATTATTTATTTTTTTTTGTTATTTTAATATTTTTGAAACAATCATTGTTGTCGTGGAAACGCATATTGTTGTTATCATTTAGTGTAATATATTCCGTATATTATATTGTTGCCAAAGCAACACTGTCAACTGAGCTCCGCTCAAAATCGTTTTTTCGTTAGCAATGGTTTATCGTTGCTTACAGATGTACATTAAATTTCCGTCTGTATCCTAACTTCCCAACTTCCCACCTACAACAGTGGTGCACTCGCATGCGATGTATGTCCGTTTGTTTTAATAAACTTCAAAAAATTTTCGCTAAATTCGTTTCTCTGTTTTCATCGAATTCGATTATAGGTACGTAATGTTATTTTTATACGTGATATGACGTCGACTTTGTTGAACGCTTCGGACCGAGGTTTTGAATGGATGATTCACCGCTGGTAAATCTGTCTGTCAGGATTTTTTTTTTTTTTTTTATTGTCCACGTCTGGCTCATCATCGCGTTTACGCGGTCATCGTGCGCAGCACGTGCGTCAAAACGTACGAATAAATTAGCGCCGTTCGTAAAATAATAATGATAATAACAATAATAATCATAATCATAATAACGATAACTACGATAATAAATATATGACGTGTAATACACATAATATTTTATATATATATATATATACATATATACACGTATATACGTATAATATACATAGAGTGAATCGTCGTCGGGGGATAGACGAACGCGCGACGGAGGTTTAGTTCGATTTGTCAAACGTGCTCGTTTTGCGAAATAAACGCGTACCCGGGTCTCGTAATGAGCCAAACCCATCCCTTCGTGCCCCTACCACCGGGTATAGGAGCCCATCGTATAGTCCGGTCACGTACTTCGGTCACCCTCCCCGGCGATGGCGTTTTCCCCGTGTATATACTATACGTATATATTATATATATATATATATATAGGTACGCGCACACACCCTGATTGGAAAGAAGAAACGTCCGTATTTCCCTGTATACATATACATATATATATATATATAAACGACCGAACGGGTACAATACGTTTGAAAACGGGGTGCAGTTACGGCGGTGGAGATTTCGAAAATTGTTTTTTTTTTTTCCCCAGTCCAATATGTCCGAATGGAAACGAGCAGAAATGAAAATGTTAAGGTGTTACCGGGTGTTAGATAGGTATATAGCGACGAATAAATATTGTATTATATAGATTACAACGACCGGTGTATGTAGTAGGAAAAATAAAGAAAGCCAGAGAAACGATGAGATAATAAATATGCGGACACCGGGTATGACGCTGAAGAAATAGTTGTCATTCGAGGTTGAGATACGATGGCATATTATGGGGATAGTATATACGAGAAAATGGTGACGGATAATATGAGGTGACGCGGAGCGGAAGCTAAGAGGGTTGATGATCACATCGCATGCGTGAGAAAAAAGTGATACTGGTGGGACAAGTTAGAAATTAAAATAGATCGAGAAAGAGAAACGATTGGATATAGTCAAGAAGTCGAGTGGAATAGGTGGGATACTAGATGGAGACCATAAAAGAGAAAATAACTAAAGAAAAAAAAAAGAAGAGGTTATCAGGAGAGATTAATGAGGGTTTATAAGTGTAGTGTAGACGAGAAAATGGCGACAAGTATATTTGGTATGCGATGTGAAAGGCGAGAATAAGAGTTTAGTTGAACCCGACGCGCAACGGCCCCATGAACAAACGTCGAAGGAAGAGAATTGTTTAGGTTATATTAGTGTGGTTTTTTTTTTTTTTTTTAGTAATTGACCAATTATATGATAATTTACCTCGAACATCATTGAAAAAATAGGAAATTCCATTTTACTTCGATAACATCGTTTGTTTTTATTATTATTATTATTTTTTTTTTTTTCTGGTCGTATTCCATTTAAAGGATGAAAATCCACAATCGTTTGTAAACCGTTGACCGGAAACCGGAGTTTTTACCGCGCCGGAAATTTCGTCGGAAATTACCGTTTTGTATACATAGAGCATGCAGAATATTATTATAAGAAATCGTGTTCATTTGAATTCCGGACGGCGCGGCGTGGTACGATGAAACTACGTGTAATAATATTATCGAATGATAAAGTTTTTACGACTTGCTGTACGACGTCGTGGTCGTGTCAGATTAGGAAAAATATAATACAAATTTAGTCTTGATTAAAAAAAATATAACAGCCGTAATATTTGTCTAGGAAAACAGGCGCCGTGAACCACACGAACTATCGTTTTTGAAATAATCGCGTTTTTAGACTTGCTTAGCCCAAAAACACTATATAATTTCGTCATGTCCGCTGTCTCAAAATTCTTACGACTCCGTCATTTTTCCGTCATTTCGATGAAATTCTACGGAAAGGTGTGAACCTATCCATACAGAATTGCGCAATCAAAAAATTTAAAAAAATTATTCAGGGGTAGTTTTCTGTACGTAGGAGGTAAACATTTTATTTTTCGCGTGCCCTATTGTACGGCACAACGTCGAAATTCATACGGGAACCTTTGAAACTACACACTCGGGGATTCGTATTGGATCCATTTTCTAGCAACAAGGCAAACAGGAAGAAGAGATTAAGACGAGAAAACAAAAGTGGACAATAGACCAAAACAAGCCCAGATTATTTAAAAATCATAGAGTCGAATGAAATCCGGATTTTGTCGACGGGCTCGCGTAATCACAAAGTAAAGAAAATGGACAAAAAAAAAAACGCCAGAAAACAGGTAAAAATAATTTTTGTAAAAACTATATCAAGCAAAAGAAGAAAAAAAAGGCACTTTCAAGTTTCATATTTAAACTCGTTGTAACAACGTGACATAAACGTCCGTACAGTACTCCGTTTTAGATTTAATGACACATAGAACAAACTCTAGTTACGGGCATTTTATTACGCGGTACATTTTATTACACTCGTTCGCAACGACATGACCGGGACGACGGGGCTTATCGGTGGAACGTAAAAGAAACATTTCCCCCTCGAGGTCTTTCGACAATATTCCACAGCAGTGTGTGCGGTTTAATGACGTCTGCGCGTTGCGTTGTTTTAGTAGTACATGTATGGTTGAAATTTCCAAAAAGAAAAAAAAATACCGCGCAATTGTAGTAAATGGCCCGTTACGGCGAGCAATTTATTTTGTCGTTAAATGAGAAATCGGGCTCCTCGGAAAAAAAAAAAAAACAAAAATATATAATAATAATGATAATAAAGGTTGGCGCCGCGATCTATCGAGCGGTTTCGCGGCTTTTTCGGAGGGAAAAAACGAAAAAAACCTAAAAACAAAAAAAAAAAAAACTACGGCGAGCAATATTTTCCCAAGATAAAACGATTTACGGTCATTACTCATTGTAGCAATATTGTTTGTTTTATATTTATCGTTCATTCCGTACGCCACTATATAGTAATAGAATATCGGGCGCGTACGTCTCTCGACCGATTTCCCGTAGTCGGATAAAATCGAATTCTCGGCCACGTTTTATGCGCGTGTAACGCGTGTCCGTATAACATACGCATACCGTTATAAATATTATATTGTTTACAGCCGAAACGATCATGATTACCATAGTGGTTACCTGCGAATATTTCACGTGGAAATGTAAAAAAAAAACAAAAGCAACTAAAAAACATTTAATTCATTATTTGATTGAGACAAATTATTTGCGTTGTGTTTTGAAACGCACTACGGTCATCGGTATCGATAACTCGTAAACATAGTGTAATTTGAAAACGAGTCGACATTTTTCGAACGTTTAAAAGTTGTACTAACAATAGATAGACCATCTATTGTTAGTACAACTTTTAAGTCTGTAAGTGTTTTATTTTCAAAAAACAAAGACTGGAGTAGATTCGGAAATTGTAGAGGGTGTACGTTAGTTGAAGATGACTGGTATTATCAAAATAGATATGAATAATCAAATTGAAAATCGTTAACATTAACACTGTCGAAATCCGTCTAGTTTTTGTTTGGTTTTGTTTTTATAACCGCGATAAATTTTAAGATCCAGGCTCCAGGACCATATCGGGGTACCCACAGTAAAAATAAAAAAAAATAAATAATAATATTAAAAAGTTTCACTCGTAATACTATCGCGGATTTCCCGACCCCGAAACGTCGTCCCTGAATACACACCGAGCAATATTGTAATATACCACCGCTCTCGCGGTAAAATGAAATATTAAACCCCTATTTACGTATTATACCACGTGTGTGTGTGTATGTGTGGGTGTGTGTGTGCACGTGTGTTTGAGTATATAATCACATTACGTACCCACATATTATGCCAAAAGACAACGGATTTCGTATACCGTGTGCATAATCGAATTCGGGCCTCCGAAATAATACTGTCGTCCGACGTGCGTACGGGTATTACGAGAGATTATCTTTTTGCCGAAATTCCGCTGTAATAATATAATATCATATACGGATACCTTTCTTTTACAGATCCGGCGATTATCTACGAAGATTTCGTTCAAAATCGATTTTGTTTTCTGTTTTCCAGTCATAACACAGAATCGTACGATGCCGATTTATCAATAAAAATATATTTTTCAACAATTTTCATCGCTCCCCCTCCCCTTATTCCGCACTACTCCATATAAACACAAATCGGCTTTTGATTT